TGCACACAGGTGCAAAGGTGAGAGTCAGCCAACAGAAGAGGCCAGGTTGCTCTGCCCTTGTCAGTATTCATCACAGGCTGCCAGCCACCGATTTTATCAGCAGCAGCTTGATACTTCACCTCAGCATCAATGATTGAAAGCATGGGTAACCTCTTCCCTAGTAACTCCAAGAAACAAAAATCAGCAGGGATTTCTTAGAGGAGTATTTTTTATAATCTACTGCTAAATCACTTCACTTTTTATAAGTGTAAAGAACATTTTTAAGAATAATACCATTCAGATGAAAAGCACCATGGTAAATATGAAATACACTAAAGCGAGATTAGGCCTTTTCTCATTCCAAGCAGAATGCTGATTAACCTATTGTTTACACTAAAGTGGTGAAGTATAAATTATTTATGAGGAAATGAATTTGTTTTTCTTCATTTTGGGTTCCAGTTATTACAAATTTGGCTCTGCAGCCACAGCTGCTTCTTATAGAAACTGAATAGCTGAGAAAAACAGGCCAAGTAGAACACAATTCTGATTGCAATTGTAAATACTTAGAAATTTAAAGAAAGCCAGCAGGTAAAAGCATTGGATATTTTTCATTGCTCCAGTGAAAACTCAATCACTAAGTAAGTTCAAGCCACACCATCAAGGTGCCACAATCACTACAATTATAGATAATCCATTATGTGAATGAAAATATGAGGACATGGGCTAGGTAGTGCAGAGCTGGCACCCCAAAGGATGCTCTGGAGAGAAGAACCAAGAAGCAGCAGTAAGTTTTTAATAGCACTGATGGACTCTTACTGGATTTAAACAGACTTCACACATACGTGTTCTGCAAGTGATAAAGGTCTGTACTGAAACATTATGTAAATAAACAAGAATGAAGAAAAATGGGGAAAAAAATATAAAAAAATTTGAAAAGCTCGTGGGGGTAAACCCATAATGTTCTCCCTAAGATGTGAGTGCATGTTTGACATCTCAGCAGAATTTCTTGGTGATGTTACTGTTCTATGCCACTTTTTGCCTGGTCTGTGTCAATGCGGAGAAGTATTCACAAGGAAATAATTATCAAACACATTAGAATCCAACCAGTTTTGAGTTCATTGTGTGCTTCAAACCCCTCAGGGCCTGACTAAGGGAGAGGCTAAGCTAACCTTTTTCTATTGGTCTTTCATTGACAGCAGTAGGACTATTCAATTCACTGTCACATAGAATTTGGATAAATGTGCATCCAGAGTTATACCAATTTACTCTAGCTGTTATCTGACCCATTATTTCAATGTCAGTTTACAAACATTTTATTTTTTACAGGCTTGTCTACAAGAAGACCAAACTGAATCAGCCACCAGAGTACATATATAGGGCTGCCATCTAAAAGAAGCCTATGTCCACAGCTGAGGTAATTCATATTAATCCTAAATTGCCACTTCTTGGCTATCTAGTTCTGGGTGCTGTCTGCCCTTGTAAGGAAGGGATGCATTTAATGACATTGAAAATGCTGAAATTTTGAAGAAAAAGTAGTTAATGCACCTATCTGTCTATAGGTATGGAACCTTTAACAGCACAGATCATCTTATTTTTCAGTGTGCAAAAAAAACCTCAACAAGACAGTAATGTTCTGGCTGAATCCTGAATGTTACTGATTGTTTTCAGTACTCTATCAAATGAGTAGAAACTGAGATTGTGCAGAGAGCGGTTTACAAAAAAAAAAAGCCACCCTGTGCATCTGAGAATAAAACCTGCAGTTAAACCAAAATATGAGGCCACTAAGGGGACCTATTTATTCCTCAAGAAACCATCTCCCATTGCTGGTATCAACCCAAATCTAATTTCATTCTTAGAAGATCCATCAAGATACCTCTGACCAGTCAGCTCCGGTGTAATCTGGATCTGCACGTGTTGTCAGACATGCTTTTTGCCTGGCTACTGAATGGAGGCTGCACTGGTGTGGTTAACAGAGCTCACTGTGGGAACACGTGGCATTGGGCTATTTACCTGAGAGCAGCCAGTGCTACCCTGGGACAGGACCACTGGTGTGTGCCTGGATGGCAGTCTGGATGGCAGTCACTCTCCTCTTCCTTCTGGGCCTCTGAATGTTCTTGCATTTTAAGCCAGACTGGGCAGACCTTTACAGTGTATTTTGGAAGCATGTGAAAGGGCTGTTTGTTATGCCTTTAACTTCAGATTGGTCACTGCAACTTGCTGAAAACTCATATAGCATTCGGTCTTTATTCTGTGCCAAGCATGAGCTGCCTACAGAGGAGAATGACACCGCACTTACAGCAGCTGCACTCCAACTGTCATGTTCTAGGTGGAATCTCAAATGTTTGCTAATCGGACAACAAACCTGCCACAGTTCGTGAATGACTACCTTAAATCTGGCCCTTTCCCACCACAGCGAAGGAAATCAAGTGGAAGCTCTGCAGCAAGTTATTTTGTGCCCGTGGCAAACTGCAGCCATTTATCAAGCAAAGACTTTTAAAGTCATGTGCAAAATATCAAAAAACATCAGCAAAGACCTCTGAGAAAAAAAGAGTAACAACATGGAAGACATTTTACAGCCTTGCCATGTATTAAACATACACTCAGCTAGCGTTTCTGTGAAGAAACATTCTGTACCCCATCAGTTACTAGCAGGGGGTAAATCAAGTCTGGAGTGAAGATCTCAGAATAAATATTCATATATGCAATTCAAACAGAACACACACAAATGAAGTAGCAATCAAACATTGAATTAACATAATGCAAATAAACTTTCAAAAAAACAAAGATGGACTTTAAAGTGTAAGAATGAATTTTCTTCTTTCTGGTATCCACCGTTATTTAACAGTGTAGAAACAGTGATACACAGCATGTCTGGCATTAAGGTAGATTTACAACAGTATAGGAGAGGCTCTCAGGAGTATCTATGTGCTCCAGCAGATCCCTGATCCTGGCTCCTGTGGCATTCCAGTCCCTGCAGGAACTTGGTCCTGTGTAGACAAAAGATGTTCACCACCGGTTCCATCTTGTCCCACTGAGTGTTGGTATTGTCGTGTTTATACTGACTCGTGTCCAATGCCAGACTTCCCCTTTGGCTATTGCTAGGCTCTTTTCATGGCCATTCCCCAATTCACAGTGCAAGCAGCCAAGGCAATAAAACATTTGTGTCAATAAAACACAGCCCTGCTGCAGCCATTTCACAGAATCACATGGTAGAGGTTGGAAGGGACCTCAAAAGATCATCCAGTCCAACCCCCCTGCCAGAGCAGGATCACCTGGAGTAGGTCACACAGGAACACGTCCAGGCAGGTTCTGAATGTCTCCAGAGAAGGAGACTCCATAACCTCTCTGGGCAGCCTGTGTCAGTGCTCTGGTACCCTCACTGTAAAGAAGTGTGTCCTTATGTTTAGGTTGACTCTCCTGTGTTCCAGTTTGTGACCACAGCCCCTTGTCTTGTCACTGAGCACAACTGAGAAGAATCTGGTCCCACACTCCTGACACCCATCCTTTAGATATTTATAAGCAGTGGGAGGTGTCTCTTCCCATGGCAGCTGGATTGGACTGGATGATCTTTAAGGTCCCTTCCAACTCTAACCAATGATTCTATGATTAAGGAGAGCCCCCTTCAGTCTCCTCCAGGCTGAACAGACCCAGCTCTCTTGGCCTTTCCTCATATGGGAGATGCTCCAGTCCCCTCAACATTTTAGAGGCTCTATGCTGGACTCTCTCCAGTCGTTCCTTGTCCTTCTTGAACTGAGGAGCCCAGAAATGGACACAGCATTCCAGATGTGGCCTCATCAGGACAGAGTATCGGGGGAGAAGAACCTCCCTCGACCTGTTGACCACACTCTTCCTAATGCACCGCAGGATGACATTGGCCTTCTTGGCGGCGAGCGTACATTTCATCCCAGCGCTGGTGACGGGCTCAGCTCGGCCCCCGCCCAGCATCCCCCAGACCGCGCAGTCCGGGAAGGCAGCACTCAGTTCTGAAGCTGGGCGAATCCCTTTCCTCTCCGGAAACCAAGGGCCGGGGAGGCAGCGGAGGCGCTGGAGCGCTGGCAGCTGCTGCCGCCGCTCCAAGCGTAAGGCGCGACTGCCCCCGAGCGGCTGGGCAGGGAGAGCTCCCAGCGCCGGCCGGGAACCGCACAAACCCGCGGCAGCAGCGCCCCCGCCTAAGCCCCACTCTAAGTCACAGGTTTGGGAGTATTGTTCTAGTTAGGAGGATGAAAACCCATGTTGGGTTTTCACAGCAACGAAGTCACAACAGCATCTAATTGCTCATTCAGTTTCTGCTTATGCTGAAACTTCATAATCTATTAGATATTTCAAATAGCAAAAAATGAACGTGCTCACTTCAAAGCTCCTTTGCTGATCCTCTATATTCATTGACATTATTTTTACAGCTATTTATAGGCCTGGCTAATGTTGCAGTTTCAGATACAAAAACTTAAAAGGTATCACGTTAAGAGACTTATGTTGGCAAATTATCATGTTACACTTAAATTTCAAAAGGCCCCAAAGATCTGCATAATTAAAAGTTATCAGTAATATGGGCAAAATTAGAAAGCAGTAGTTGTTGTAGATCAGAATAGTGATTCTTTTCTAATTAAGTAAATGTGAAGAGAGAATCATTGATGAAAGATACGACTGCCTTTTTTGTTTGAAGAATTCAACCTCTTATGAATTACTGGGTGATTTGCAACACAAGTCAGAGATTTCAAACCACTCACACTGTAGCAAAGAAGTACTGAGACGAACGACACCAGCGATTTCGTGTAGTCTTAACTTCTTCATGCTGTCTAGCTACTTAAGGAAAATTAGAAGGGATATGCTCAATAATATGTCATATCGCATTTTCCACAGACTTTTTTACCCCTTCTGCATCTTACTTAACATACTTGTTAATCATGCTTTTTTGAAAATTTGAGCAAGTTTGCACAACCATATACAACTACGAATTATTTAAAAAATGTAATAGGTGATACAATATTACAGTGCACTGACAGAGAAAAGAGCCTTAGAACCACAAGTCCACAAAAATTTTTATTAAAATAATACCAAGTTTAAGAAATTGATGCAATGCAAAGAAACTTCAACTCATCATACAAAAAAATAATGATTTTCCATCCTTAAGTATGGAAAACTGCATTCCAATCCTGACATGATTGACATAATACAGAACCAAAACCACTGGTATCCCAGATGAATGTCAAAGTTAAAGACTGGCATGCTGGGCAAGGAAGGTTCTTATTCTTTGCAAGAGTTCCTTCTTTACACTGTCTGGTACCAAGGCTGAAACACAAATAAGAAAGCAATGAGTAACGAAGACAAAATGGAAAATATGCTAATACCAACCTTCTTTCTACTTCTTTCTTTGTTCTTGCAACTCTGTTAATACCTAAAGTAACTGAAGGTATTGGATTTTCATATAGCACATCTATATTTTTTTCCAAATTAAAATAGGCTAAAATTGAACTCTGTCAAGACCACTGTTGTTATTGGTACTTTTCTGCCTAGCCATAGTCAAGAAAATTTGAAAGTTTGAGGGACAGGACAATTTAACAGCAAACAGAATATAATCACACAAACTAGTTTGATTATCCTACCTTTTTTCATCACAAATCTAAGACCAATCTAAAAAAAATCTCAGCCATGACCTCAGAGTAAGGGGCTTCAACAGGATATTCTGAAGGCTTATTTTTATTTAAGACTTAATGATGTTTGTCCCACTAACACCAAAGCCTATTAAAGAGTGCCAGAAGAACCATACAAAGATGACTGCAGTATTTCCCTTCTTCTCCCTTCCTTCTTTCCTTTCTTTATTTCTTTCATTTTTCTGTATCTGTATGCTATGCCCTTTCCTTTTCCCACTTCCCATTACACTAGTACTGTTAGTTCAGATTTTCCATCTTAATAAGAATTGGCATTTTAAACCACTTCTGCTGCACACCCCAAGTTTTCTTGGGACCATTAAATCAATTATAAAGATGAATACAGACTCACGACTAAATAAAGTAACCTGCCAAAGCAGTCTACACACACAAAGATCATTACAGATTTTGAATGGTTGTTACACAATACAAATTCACATGTTTTATTTGTAGTTAATATCACAAGCTATTAACATTTTTCCTTTACATGGGGAAGTTCATAATGCTGCTTTCAAAATATTAATGAAATACAGGGAGGTATATTAATTGATGTACTACCACATCCATGTTCGCATTTTCTTACCTCTACCTTTGGGAGTGATTTCTGCCACCAAATCATCAACAGTAACATGCTCTAATCCTTTTTCTTTAATGACATCTGGGGAAGACCAAGACCAATATTTTAAGACTTTTAATACCTTCATTAGAAGACAAAACCTGTGCCACCGATTATGAGACAAGACTTGCACGCATAGATCAGAGAATATGAAGTAGCATGTGACCTAAATATAGGTTATTAACTCAGTGCCTACTGCATTGTGCAGTGGATTTAGTCTCCCATTCATAACATAGGTTTAAGGATAGGAACTTGTCACTACTGATGCATCTTGATCAGCTCATATTTTAAAATCAAGCTTATCAGAGCATTACCAGATGTGCATATTACTGGGGTGTTATAGCAGTTCACAAGTTGCTCTGCTTATCTCTTCAAACACATTATTTACATAATAGTGAGAAAGAGATACAATTGGAAGAAGACTTTGGACCATACGGCAAGGTAGCACAGAGACAGTAAATACTACTCTTCCTAACCGGTGTAGACATCTCTCTATATATTTTAGCAAAGTAAAAAAAAAAGTATATCTGAAAAAAGGTATATACCTACAGCAAAATAAAAGCTATGATTAAGACATATTGTATGATTAATAGATACCAGTATTTAAACAGTTGTCTACTTATAGTGCCTTGAAGGCTAATGAAAAAATGTAGTTCAATGCTGAGAACAAACATCAATTCAAGTAGCATAAACCTAAAATATTTTATCTAAACATGAATGTTTTTAACTGTATGTCAGTACATAGGATTGATTGACCCAAGACACTGAATATGTTTTCTGAACTAACATCAGATGAATTATTTGTAAACTGTTTTTATTAGCTGAATTTCCTGTAGAAATTAATACTAGATTGCTCAATTATTGGCCCTAATCCACAATGGCAAGAGGCTCTAGAAGCAGCTACCAAAAAAAACCCACACACCCCACCTCAACAAAACAACAAAAACAACAACAGCAAAAAAAGGCCCAAACCCTCCAAATCCCTCTCTGTCCTTTCTTTTGGATGTTATTAGGCCCTTAACAGGGACAAATGAACTTACATTTGCATTCTCAGCAGCTGCAGTTACAGTTCAAAGTACTAATGTAAACCAAGTAATTTTATGTAACTTCACTATAGCAGAGTATATAGTTGAGAAGGCAGATAAACATCCCTTTCTCTATCTGTCCTATGGGTAATCTCTGGTAGTGGAATCAGGCAGACAACTGTGAGCATGAATTATTTCAGCCTTCTCTGCAAATCCACCTATAAAAACAATTTAACACACTCAGCCCTACAGAAAGAAACTTTGTAATGCAGTATTAGGTTGCCGGGCACAATAGACCAAATCAGAATTAAAGCAACAGCTCAAGTGATTTGTTATTTGCTTTAAGAAAATGTCAACATGTGGTAATATTCCTGGCTGTTTAAATACTATTTGTAACAGTTTCATACAATTTACAAGTCAGTAAATTGTAGTAATGATAAATACTTAAATCAGAACTAAAGATTTGGGTATTTAGAGGTTCATCTGCTTGTTTTCTCTCATCTAGGCAAACGATCTTATTTTCAAGAATTGTATTCAGAAAGATACAAATACGCTTCTTTCTCTCCCATTTGCAGACAACGAAGTTCTCTTTAGTTTCTAAGTTGTATACCACTGCATTTGCTCCATTTTTCTTTATCTTGGTTTTTATTCTCCTGTGGTAAGGAAGTAATCTCTCTCAAAACAAAAAGCTGTGTCATCATGAGTATTTAGGAAATCAATTCCAATACTTTTCTCGGAAGCTTAATGAGGTTCAGATCAGAGAAGAAGTTTCAGGATTTTTTTACCAGGATGCTTTCTTGCACACAAAACCAATTGCCGGGGGTACTTCCCACTTTCACAAGTCTCATTTAAACTGACTGTGAGGCAGTAAAGCCTTTATCTGGGACTTTCATTTGGCCAGAACCTCAGTTGATTACAAAGAATATTGGTTATTTGACCGCTCTTACCTTTGCAATGTGCCTTCAACTGATCCTTCCAGCCGCATTCAATTAATTTAGCTCTCAGCAACTCTTTAAGGCTATTAAGAAAATATAAAAACTTGTTAGGAACAGCAAACATTCCTGACAGGTTAAATACAGCTTCAGTGTGAAAGTCAAGCTACAATTACTACTCATAGCAGAACTCCCAGAGAGCAGCAGAAATGACTGAACAGCACGTGAATCCTAGCCCAGATGAGCACCAATTTCAGTTTACCATGTTGGACTTAGAGGCTCAGGAGCTAATTCACAGTATTTCTTCAGGCAGCATTGATGCTGCTGCCACAGAAAAGAAGTAGAAACCCTTGAATCACTTGAACTGCCCGAGTTAGCAAATGTATGCTTAACTTTCAAAGTTATAAATATTTCACCTGAAACCAGGACTTCAAAATAAATAAAACCTTCCCCCCCCTCCTTTCTGGAAGGAGAATTCTGTACTACTGTCTTCAATTGTCTTCAACATTTAATGAAATATAACAAGGGAAAGTGCA